TCTATGATTTTAAGTAATAGTTTCAAAGATAGAGATTTTTTCAATATATTTGACGCATTAAAAGTAACATTGTTTTTATCATCGTAACATCATGAAACATGATTTCTCTCTCACTAAATGGCATTAATATGCTGCAAGACATTAGTGTGCCGTGAGACGTAATGCGTAATGTATGTGATTAAATTTGGAAAATAATAAGCGGTACACATTTTACGATATTTTTTACTCGGTTAGCTTATGGCTGAAAATAACCCCTCTGCCTTCGCTCATCTCGATTGACGGCGCTGATTTTATCAAGAAAATGCCAGGAATATCTCAGTTAGATGCGGACGCGTTCTTTCAAAGTAATAAGGCACGAAGAAAGTTATAGAGTTAACGCGATATGAAAAAAGAAAATCCAATGAAAATTTTGGTTGGCGCATTTGTTTTAAAAAGAATATAAGCCGGAATTTTGCTTCTTTATATAACTGAGGTTTTCATAGAAAAAATATGTGGTTTCTGATGCAAAAGTATAAAATTCTATGGTACTAAAAAAAGTCGAAAGAAAAGAATATTTAAATTTAGAAAGCGACATTTAATGCCGACGATATCGCCGATTAGAACTCCAATCGCGTTTTCACGCGAACACTCTGAAAAACTTACAACGAACTGGAAAACTTACGGTAAAAAGAATGGAGCACGTATATATATATAAAAGAAAATAGAATAGCAAACCCGAGCAAAGTAACCACAGACGAGAGCGAGAACAGGGCGACAGGATAAAATCCTCTCGCTGTTGTAAGCGGAAAAGAGGGGAAGATAAGATAGGAGGGTGAGAGTGGGAAAAAGGACTCGGAGTAGGCGGAGTAGTATGGCGACGGTATAGTATGGGGGTAAGTGCATTGCATCCCTTTCGTCCTGCGCCAGGATACATCGCGGGGATGACCAACTATATTCTCTCTCTCTCTCTCTCTCTCTCTCTCTCTCTCTCTCTTTCTCTCCCTCTACCCACTCCCGATGACGACGGAAAAGTGGGGGTAGGCTCGTTTCGTTACGACAGAGATAGCGAGTAGTTTGGGAAAATGAGCACCGGTTGCATCTCGTCGGACTGCAATTTTGCCAGAGTGTAAAGGTTATCATATATGCCCCTTTTTTTCTTTTTTGAGAGGGGAGGGGAGATTGTAGCCAGTGTAAAGTAGGTGAGTCAAAATTTTGATGTTATGAAATAAGGATATTCTAGCATTGGATCTACTTTCCGCAATGACTAAATTGAATTCATTAAAAGAGAGATTAGAGATTAGATCGATTTCTCTCGTATTATGCGACCGGAAAAAGGACCGGCCACGAATCTCTTTCTACAAGTAGTACAATTCTCGCATTAGTATCTGATATAGATAAATCTACAACAATTTTAAAATGTTTAATATGTATATTTAATTGATTCGTGCGATTTTCACTGAAGTATACGGACATACAAATAAAGTTTTATAAGCTTTCAATGCCAATTAATCTTAATTTACGTAATCTGATCTCGATAATTTCTTTCTTCTGGGTATCTGAATTTTCATGTTGTTAAAGCTGCCGATATGATCCTGCATCGTTATCAGTTTTCTCTATTTATATTATATATACGTCATAATGAGAAAAGAAACGGAAAATCGAAAATCTAGAATAAGTTAATGCAGACTGTCGGTATAAAAAACTCGCTTTTGTCTCTCTCTCTCTCTCTCTCTCTCTCTCTCATTGTTGTCGCGATATAACATCAACATGATTCGAGATCCATCTGATATGAGAAATATGGAGAACGAAGGGAGGTGTTGGTGAACCGCGAGAGGGAGGCTGCAAGCAACCTCCTCCACTCTCTCGATGAGGCAAGCATGCGGGGGTGGCACAAGCCGCTCGGAGGGCGGTCGTCCTTCCCCGAGGAGAGGGGAAGCAGTTCGTTGGAAAATTTACGCCGGCAATGGATGGACCGTAAAGGTCGCCGTTGCTGATGTTTCTCCTCTTAGGCGCCACCATCGTTGGTTTGCTCTCTTCTCTGTAAGGATTGCCAGCTGAGAGCAACGTCAGAAACGAGAGTAGATCGTAGTGCTTATCGTTGCTCGGTTCAGAGTTAGCTACGCGTTTTTCCATCATTATGGACTTTTCTAGGAAA